GTGGTTTTGACCTATGATAGTTTTTATGCCCCTCCATGCCATGCGCGAATTATTTTCCTGAAGATGTCTTTCAATTTTATCTTTATAATGTCTTTTTCCCTGTTTAATTTTCTTCTGTATTTCCTTCTGAATCAGCTTCCCTCCACATCGATCATTTTCTTTAAATGCTCTTTCTTTCTCCACTAACAGTTTTTTAATTTCTGAAGTAATCCATGGTTTTGAATTAGCAAATTGTTTCACGCGTTTTGTCGCGGTCACATTGTCCACACAAAAATTAACATATGACGTGACAACATCCGCATGCTCGTCAAGATCTGCACAATCAAAAACGCTCCAATCAGTGCAGTCAAAACATCCTTGAAGAGCTGTCACACTGTTATCATCCCACAAACGCACCGATGTCATTTTAGATTTTTCCCTTTTCAATTTTTGTCGATAAGAGGGCAACAGAAAAACCACGTTATGATCAGATCCGCCAATCGCTGCTTTGTTCACTTCCGCTAGAGCGTTGTCCACGGGACACCTCTACGCGTCGAAGTGGAACCTCTTCGTCAACTGGTGCTCTTCCCGTGAGAAGACCCCCGGAGATGTTCGATCGGTGTCGTGCTTTCCTTCCTGCAAGAGGGGTTGGAGCGTAGGCTATCGCCCTCCACCCTTAAGGTTTACGTCGCAGCCATTGCCGCGTCTCATGATGCAGTGAAAGGTAAGTCTATGGGAAAGCATGTCCTGGTCATCAGGTTCCTGAGGGGAGCAAGGAGGCTAAATCCGCCTCACCCTCCCCTCGTGCCCTCTGGGACCTCTCAGTAGCTCTAAGTGCTCTGCAGAGGCTCCCCTGGAGCCTTTGCAATCGGTAGAGTTTTTAGTCCTGTCCTATGTAGACAGCACTCCTGGTTGCATTGGCCTCCATCAAGAGGGTAAGAGGGGACCTGCATGCATTCTCCGTTGACGAAGCGTGCCTGGAGTTCGGGCCGGGTTGCTCTCACGTGTTCTTGAGACCCCGGCCTGGATATGTGCCGAAGGTTCCCACCTCTCCCTTCCGGGACCAGGTGTTGAACCTGCAAGCGCTGCCCCTGGAGGAGGCAGACCCAGCCTTGGCACTGCTCTGTCCGGTACGTGCGCTCCGCGCCTACGTTGACAGAACGCGGTGTTTCAGGACCTCAGACCAGCTCTTGTCTGTTATGGGGGGAGCCAGAAGGGAAGGGCTCTCTCAAAGCAACGGCTGTCTCACTGGATAGTGGATGCCATTGCTTTGGCTTACCAACAGCAAGGTCGACCGTGCCCCCTTGGTGTGACGGCCCACTCCACCAGGAGTGTGGCTTCCTCTTGGGCTTTAGCGCATGGCGCCTCGCTGACAGACATTGGCAGAGCTGCAGGCTGGGCGACACCAAACACCTTCGCAAGATTCTTAATCTGCGAAGAGAGCCAGTGTCCTCTCGTGTACTCGCTTCCTCCAGTACTGGACTCGCTTAGGTGTCTTCGCTTGCTTGCCATTCCACTCCTCGGACTGGATAAGTGCGATATTTCCTCAGTAGTCTTCTGTTGAAGCCTTGAGTCCTCCAGCACCGACGATGCGGGCACCACTGCTTTTGCTCTGGATGCCGGCTAGGTGCCTCCATGTGCACGGTTCCCTATGGTAACTGTCTCATGTGTATTATCCACTGTAAGCCTCTCTGAGCATGTGTCTTCCCTTGGCAAGCCATCTGCCACTCCTGGAGTTAAGTTTCTAGCCACCCTAAGCAGGTTGGTGCTCCAGTGATCTCCATATGTAGTCCCTAACACGGCCATATGTGTATTCCTAAGTCCTCCCTACGGTAGGCATTTGGTAGCATGTCCCTACCGGGATATTTTTCCCAGTGTACCTTGGTATTCCTGTGTCAAAGTAGGTATCTCCTGTCTAAGTTAAGTAAGAAGGAGTCCAGACTTTCGCAGGGCACTGGAAGACAGCTATGAAGATGGTGTGATGGCATAGACCCCCATTCTCCGTCACTCCTGACATAACTCGGAGTGACTACGAAAGGGAACGTAACCCTCGTTCCCTGAGTAGGGAACGGAGATGTTACGTCTCCTTGCCACTTCTGCTGTATCGCTGGGTAGATGCCGAGTTCAGTCTTGGCTCCTCAGCGAAGACATACTGCGGTTGCGTACACTTCCTCCTTTTATACCCACGGGGTAGGGGCGGAGGTACGCTATGCAAATTCCGCAGCCCCAAGGCATTTCATGCCATTGGCTCGTTGTTAAATACTCTAAGAGGTTGGCTTTCTATGCGAAACCCCCATTCTCCGTCACTCCTGACGTAACGTCTCCGTTCCCTACTCAGGGATTGAGGGTTACATCCGTAACCGAGACGTTTCATGTCATTAAACAACTAAACACATAGCCAGATCAGTTAAAAAGCAGTTCAATGTTTTTCTTTGTAAGTGGAGATACAAGCCCCACTTACCTTGAATCATGCAAAAAAAATGATAAGAAGTTTGCAAGTTGCCTCTGTCATCAGTCATTATAGTTTATAAAGTTATAATTACGGATATTTTTCTTTAAAAAAACAGATTGCTTCACTTCAGAAGGCATTTATTAAGCCCCTGGAGCCAACTGGATTACTTTCATGATGGATGCTCTTTTTTGGGCTTCAAGAAACAAGGTACCATTCACTCACATTATAAAGCTAGGTAGAGCCAGGATATGTTTTTGTATTACTCTGAGTTTGGATGAAAGAAGAAGTCATATACTGTACACATGACTTGATGGTGATTAAATTATGTGATCATTTTCATTATTGGGTGAACTAACCCTTTAAGTGGTTTTGAAAATGAATTGTATAATATATTATATTATAAAGTTTGTTTGCACAATAATTTTATTTACTGTCACAATTAGTCTGACATGACAGAGGAAGTACTTATACTTGCATGGTGACCAAATGAGTGATGATGATTAGAGCCCGACCGATAAAGGATTTTGAAGGCCGATACCGATACAAATATTTTTTGGTTTTAAAATCCGACATACGCCGATATATCGGCCGATATTTTTTTTTCCGAAACGCGCAACAAAACATTAACAGATTTCCTTAACATAAGTTATTTGTAGTTATTTATGAGTTTTAACTAAAATATTATGATCATGCATTTTAAAAAGAAACTTTTTTCTTTTATTGTCACAACAGAACAGACTGATGATAGTGGCGTTAGCTAGCTTTGTGATTAGCTAGTCTATTATGAGCCATATTTTAGCAATGGATGACGTCATACTACAGAGTGTAAAACATACATTTTCAATATAACAGGCCAAGGAGAGATGATACGTCTCATTGCTATATCGGTCACGCGCTATTAAAGAAATACTTCAGTCACATTGTCAAAAGTTAAAAGGACAGTCAGTCAACTACACTAACAATGTAACGTAATTATTACTAACTAATTCCGCTTCAATCTCGGCCTATTTAACAGCAGCAAAACTGGACATGATAGTCACAAATTTTGTCATGCTTATTTGAGTTAAGAGAACTGATGGGGATGTTCTTTTAATTGTTATTCAAGCAATGTATGTCTCGTGACCAACTCAACGAGTGTTGCCAACAGGGACGGTGTAGAGTGCCCTCTGGTGGACAAACTATACAACTCCAACACTCATGACATGGTTCAAGCGTGTTTCGTCCGTTTTTATTTTTTTATTTTTGAAATATTCATTTATCGGCCATTATAACTGCCGATACCGATAGTTTGGAAAATGCCTAATATCGGCCGATAATATCGGCATGACGATATATCGGTCTGGCTCTAATGATGATCTTATGTTTTACATTAGATTATTTAGTTTAGTTATGTTTTCCTTATGGTGACAATCAGCTGCTTAAAATGTAGATGATTTCAGGTTTTAATATCCTTGTGGAGACATTTAATTCCACAATGTGAGCCAATCCTGACCCCCACACACACACAAACAGAAACAGCCTTTCCTAAAGCCTAGTTCACACTACGTGATTTTAAGCCCGATTTAAGCCCGATTTGCAAATCGTTGAGTCGCCGACAAGTCAGGGTGTTATCGCGTGCAAATCGCGGGCGATTAGCGGACGATTAACGCTCGCCAATCCGTTAGTGTGAAAGAGCCAACAACGCACCAAAGACACCTCGCAGACACCTCGCAGACAGGTCACCGAGCTCAGAAAAATATCTAGCATGCTAGATATCTCGAGCAGTCGCGCGACTCAATCTCAGTGATGTCATGAGTACAGCCAATCATAGCAACGCATGGGTTGAGGACACCAGGTAAATCTTACTTTTTCTTTTCTTTTTTGCATTTTTTTTTCTCAGAGCAGATCGTCGAGCAAACAGTGTGCAGCACTAGTTTCTGTCTGACGTCCATATTCGCATGTTGTGTTCTTCTCTGCAGTTTCGCGTCATTTCTGGTTCGTTTTATTGCGTGGTTTTTCGTGGCAAAACATGGTTTCTAGACCAGATAGAATCGTGTTGTTGTCAACTCGTTATTTGTTTGATTATTTTCAGGATTTAGACCGTACTATAGTACTGAAACAGCTCTAATTGAGTCACAAATGATATGCTCTTATCATCCGATCGTGGTTGTATCTCTATGTAGTGCGTTGTTAACTCGTGTAGTGAGTTACCTCCTGTTGTGGATCAATCACGTTGTGTTGTGTGGTGTGAACAGCTAAACAACTTGAACACTCATGATTTCACTGAGAGCAAGTCATGTAGTGTGAACTGCACAGTTCAGCCCGACATTTTAAAATCATGTAGTGTGAACTAGGCTTAAAACAACTTCTAGAGAGCTTCGACAGAGGGAAATTGATCAATGAACCTCTGTACCAAAATGTAATTCATGGACTTCAGTGGTGGCGTTAATTTTTTCCATTGTTTGCACTCTAGTGTGTATCCGCTTTGGGCAAACTGGGCCTTTATATTTTCATATATCACAGTTTAAAATGGAAGCTCAATATGATTGCAATTACAAAAAAAAAAAAGCAAAATAAAGCTTTATCTTACCTTCGACTTGCTTTGAGAGAACATTGATATAAAACTCTATGTCTGTCTGGAGCTGATTGTCCTGAAAGACAGCTGTCAGTTTGTATGTTCCTGACTGGCTAGATGTTACGGAAGTCAGAGACAAAGTGTCTGAGAGAGACAGTGTTGTGTCATCCTAAAAATCATAAATTTGTCATTTTAAGCGAGTTAATACACTACAAAAGATACATTTCAAGCAATACTGCTTACATTATTTCAATCTCTTAATATCTCACAGTCTTACCCTTATCCACTTATATTGTAAGTACTGAGATGCTTTTGCAATACAAGAAATCGTCACATCTTCACCAAAACCAACATTAAAAGGGCTGCTTGTGTTACACTCAATGTCATCAAGAACTGTTTGGAAGAATATGATATATTTTATATGGATTTTGCTTACTTATTTAAGCTTTAATCTAAACAGAGAATGATACATATTAATTCAAAAACTTTTTTGTATTCTCAACACTCACAATTGACAGTCAGTTCGATAGTGGTATTGAGACCTTGCTGATTTTGGACAGATGACCATTCAGGGGAACAGATGTACAGATCGCTGTTGTTTCTGGTGACTTTTGGTAAAATGAACTCTCCATTCAAGCTTTCCATCCAAAATAGTTTGTCCTGTTGAGGAGAGTGAGATCAACACAACAGCTGTATTATGGCATTTAGAAATGTTTATGTTTCCATCTGACTCACCTTTGACCGCCTAAGTTCATAACTGAGTGGTGGAGGGCTTGCTGAACAACTTATTTTCACTTCATCTCCCTCTTTTATGAATCTGTATGGATGTGACATCTTCACTGATGCGGGAGGCTCTGAAATTAGCAGACAGCGCTTGTTCACTTTTACATTTTTTGAGAATATGAGAATGTAGGTTACCGTGAGCAGTTTACCTGTGACCTGCAGCTTTGTAGTTCTTTTAATCGAGCCAATAGGATAAAAAGTAATTTCGCAAGTATAGTTTCCACTGTCTTTCATGGTAACTTCATACAGGGTCAGGACAGAGCCCTGTAGCTTTCCAGTTTTTGAACTGGTGATCTTCGTCAGAAGAGGACCGGTTTGAAAGTAATGTTCTGGCATTGACGGATGGAACACCACGATCTTCTTATCATTCTTATCATTCTTCTGTTTTAGCCATTCCACCTGGATAATTTTGATTTCATGTTCCTCTCCCACAAAACATGGCAGGCTGACGTTCTGTCCCTCCACCGCAGTTACGGACACGTTATGATGTATATGCATTCCATACGTTCCTGATAAACCATTTTCATGAGTGATGATCAATTTCTTTCATGAAACCACAGATTGCATCATTGGTCATTGATCATTTATTCAAAGAGATGTGTTATTGACTCGTTTTCACCTTTAAGGCATTATAAAAAGTACAGTGTCATCTGTCATTTAATCAGTGTCATTTAATTTGATTTTTAGATATAGTTCTTAAGTTTTTTTGTACATTTTTAATCATGATTTAAAATTGTAAAATATATTTCAAGATAAAAGTTGATTTATTTATTGTTTTTAAGTATTAAATAAAAGGTAATATGTTTCCCTTAGCCTACTGCCTTGCACCTTGTATGCATGTGAGTGTGTCACCATTATGTTCAGTTTGTTTAGTTATCATGGACTGTTTGTTTTCATTGGTCGCATGTGTTCCTTTATTCCACTCATCACTTACCATGGTCACTAAGACTAATCAAACAACTGTTCATTATTTTGTCACCACCACCATGTATTTACGTTCCTTCTTGTGCACTCTTCATTTGTCTGGTATTGTTCGTGTTTATGTTTACACGCTGTCTCACAAGTTGGTTGTCAAGTCAAGTCACATTTGTTTATATACCGCTTTTCACAATACAGATTGTATCAAAGCAGCTTCACAGTGATAACATGAAAGTAGTACAACACAGATCAATAATATTGTTAAATATGAAATATTAAATAACCCCAACTAAGCAAGCCAAAAGCAAGGAGACAGTGGCAAGTTGTCTAGTTGGATCTATTTAAATGACCCCTGAGTTATCCCTTACGAAACAAAAACATATTGCAGTATATTGGAATATACCATGTGATATATTAGGCAATATATTCCCATATAAAGGACTTAATATTTATATTGTCCAATATATTGCAATATATGCATAGTCCATATTATATATGTTGATACATATATTGCAATCAAGACCAAAATAGTCACTATATTTTTTAAATATAGTTTTTCTTTTTAAAGTTTATCATTATATGCTTTAATATACTGCAATATATGTGCTATATGTGTACACACACACACACAAATACATACATTCATAGGCTATGTATGAATTTGTGCATATACATTTATATATATATATATATATATATACAGATATATATATGAAATCATATGGAAATATATAAATAAAATCTGTTGTAGAAATATTTAAAATTGTATGGAAATATATAAATAAAATATATATATAGATATGTGTTCAATATATTGTGGAATATATTTTAAATATATGTATAATTATATGGAAAATATCAATAAAATATATGTATACTTATATATGTTCCATATGTTGTGGAATATATTCTAAATAAATTTAAAAATTGTATGGAAATATATAAATAAAATATTTGTATAGCTATGAGTTCATTATATTGTGGAATATATTTTAAATATATATATATATATATATATATATTATATGGAAATATATCAATAAAATATATGTATAGATATGTGTTCCATATGTTGTGAAATATATTTTAAATATATTTAAAATTGTACGGAAATATATAATAAAAATATATGAATAGATATGTGTTCAATATATTGTTGAATATATTTTAAATATATGTATAATTATATGGAAATATATCAATAATATATCAATAAAATATATGTATAGATATGTGTTCCATATGTTGTGGAATATAGACAATATATTGCAGACAATCTATAATATATATATATATATATATATATATATACATAGCTATGTATATGTATATATATATATATATATATATATATATATATAGTTATGCCATGCATGTCATAATATATAATATAATATATATACATACATAGGCTATATATGATATGACATGCATGGCATAGCTATTTAGCTCAATTAAAATATCTTTAATAATTTACAAATAATTAACTGCATTACACAAATACGTTTTATTGAAACATATATGCTTTTCCACAGTTCCCTAAGGTCCTTGAAAGTTTGTATATTATTTATTTATTCCTTATTTTTTGTGCATTTTGTTTACAGATATTTCAATTATATTTCATTACAGCACTGCTGAAAGTTTGAAATAGACATTGGTCATTGAAATTCCTTTAATTTATAGTGTATATTTTCTGTTCAATGGCACTCTTTAAAAATGTTGCACTGTTAATAAATGTAGTCAATCAGATTTCCTTTGTCTGACCATATGCAAGGAGTTTTGTGGTTTTAGCTCAAATTGGTTTAGTGATTTAAAAAAACGAAAACAAAGGTAGCTTTTGATAATTATCCATTAGTCTGTGTTAATATGTGGTATACATGTTTGCACATATATTGCAGGTTGAATATTTATTAAGTATTCATATATTTTAGATGTTACATGTACTTATATTGAATACTATATCACCATATACATTAGTATGTGTCACGGTGTGGGTTTTGTCTTGTTCCTTGTTCTTGTCTGTCATGTGATTCCCTGTTTGTCATGTGATCCTGCCATGTGTCTTGTCCCATGTTCAGCTGTTCCCCATTATCTTGATTAGTCTTCCTACTGTTTCAGTTCAACCACGCCCCCTTGTTATCTTATAAATCAACAGGAACATCCAAGGCACTCTCTTTAGAAAAGTTGAAAAGCCTTTATTTCTATGGCTTGGTCATAATCAACACTATAAAAACGATTTGAGGCGTTTCGGCATACAAGCCTTTGTCCGGGAGCCCTTGTTATCTTGTTTAGCTTGTGTTCCCTTGTCTTTAAGCCCTGTGTTTGTTCAGTCCTTGTGAGTTCTTGGTGTTGTAATGTTTGTTGTCTCATTGTTCCTGTTCTGAGTGTTCTGTCGTTTACCCTGGTTTACCTGTTTGTTTTTTTGTTTGTTTATTAAAGTGCTTGCAATTGGATTCAATCTCTGCTTAATTCCTGCCTGCATTGTTACAGAATGTGCATGTTCTCAATATATATTGATATGTACAACATATGTACATACATTTTGATATAAACAATATATGTACATATATTTCGATATAATTTTACATATATTTAAAATATATTCCACAATATATGGAACACATATCTATATATTTTATTTATATATTTCCATATAAATTCATATATATATATATATATATATATATATATATTGAAATGTATTCTACCATATACTGAACATACTTGGGACCTTATATCTTTACATATATAACCAATACATTATCCCATACAAATTATAATAGATTATGGTGGATTTTTATATATATATATATTTACCATATATTTCAATATATTTTCCATATATTTCAATATATTGAAAGCGGCAATCATTTGTATATTTTGCAATATATTACAATATATTTAATATATTGTATAATATATCTATCATCAATATATTACTCCATGTATTTCCAATATATAATATATTGGAAAATGGAAAGGAAAATAATATATTACAATATATTTCAAGTAATATATTGGTAAATATATTTTTCTTTCGTAAGGGATATCTTCATCTTCCTTGGATTTGAGTGTTATAAGCCGCTTTCCGACCGGAGGGACTTTTGAACCTAACGTTCCTATAACCCTTTTTTTCTCATGCTCCGACCGGACTAAATTGGGGATTTTTTAGTTCCTCAGACCGTAGTTCCTATAACTCTTTCAGTACCTAGTCTAGAACGAGGACTTTTTTAGTTCCCTCTACGTTGATTGGTTCAACTTATAAGTCATGCCCACTGTCAACACGGACGGAACTTGTAGCGCACTGTCTGACATACGCTGTGTGTTTTTGCAAAACATTACAACGAGGATTAAGACAAACATAACGCATTCAACCAGCTAATTGCTAATGCTAGCTAAACTTACCCGTCATTTTGTTTGCCTCCTGCGCTCTGCTCTTTTAAATTCTTCCATCATATTACTTAATATCATATTATGCTGGAGCCTTCGTCTTCTGTGTTACTCTGTACAGAACTCAAGCATAATCTAGTTTAAACGCTGCCATTCGTTCTCCGTTATTAAGGTCCCGGCAAGGCAGAACAGGAACATTGCAATCGGTCTTTGTTTTTTGTTTTTTATTTTTATTTTTTTTTTATTAAGAACAATCTTAGTACAGACATTTATGTATACAGCAAAATTAACATACAATATATAAATTACAAAGTCTTTCATACTAGGGGGGTATTGTAAACTTATATAAAGATATTATAACATTTGCATATTTTCAATGTTTTAAACGCTTTTAGCTTAATAGAAAACCGGAGTGAATCAATATAAAGCTCAATTTCTTTCCTAAAATAAAATAAAATTAGGCTTTTTACAGGAGAATTTGCATTTATGAACATAACATTTTGCCATTAAAAGAATGAAATTAATTAAATAATTCTGATTGTGCTTAAATGCTGGTTTGTTGTTGTATGTGGCCGCACTACATCTAGTGATGACGCTATAAAGACCGTCGCCGTGCTTGCCTTAAGGCGGCCATACACTGTGCGATGTCTGTGCGATTTCAGCAAGGTACGTAGGCTACTCACACTGAACGAGTAAATCGAATGCGGCAAAGGCAAAGTTCAGGATTAATGTGCTCACATTGTACGGTCCGATCGTCGAGCTGCGAATTCACTGCTCACACTATACGTGTAATATCTGCCATAACCCCCTGGATTGCGCCTATAGACGTGTATGTATCCAGAGATATTGTCAAAACAAGCATCTGCTATCAGTATCAAGATGATTTAGCATTTTCAATTTATGCATTTAATTATTATTAGTATTATTGTATTATCATTACTAGGGGAGGCCTATAGGCTAATTTTATTATTAAATTGATCCGCTATTATAATTAATTTGCCATGCAATATTTTCACAGCACATAACCAACATGCTGCGAGGATAATAAAATATTACATATTTTATAGAATATACGAATATTACATAATCTTACTCATTAAAAATTGTCTAAAACATTTAGTTTGATTACAATGAATTATAGGCATATAAAATAACTATTAACAGTCTATAAAATGTCCGAACATTGCCATAATTTATCAACAATGAAAAGAGGCGTTACATCGCAGGTGGCTTGGAAGACGGTGGGTAATATTATCCATTTTGCAACACGAACTGGAGGTAAGCAACAGTAATTTGTAGCTAGTTTGAACAACAGAACTTAAAGATCTCACTCTATTCGTTTTTATTTTAATTTCATTTTTGCTGCAGATGAAATGGTTAAACTTCTGTTTTCGCACAGGTGCAGTGAGGGAAAAAACATTGAGTTTAGGGCAATCGGTTCATAGCTTTGCTTCAACTGTGCGATATAGTCACGAGGAGCGACCAAAATTTCTGAAATGCGAGAAATTCATCCGACCATCCGATTGTTGATCGTGAGAGGCTAATCGCCTCTCGTTTCTCCCTGTACACTGCACGACAAACGACGCACGACAAACGACGCACGACAAAGCTGAAAATCGGTCCGATACGGAAAAGAGTCGCACAAGTCAGAATTCGACTCAAAATCGGACGAAAATCGCACAGTGTATGCCCGCCTTTACCCCTCCTACCAGTTCCTATGGCTACTTGGCCAGTGCGAACGCAAGCAGCAAAACCGAGTTTGGGGGAGAGTAGTTCTTAGAACTGTTTAGAAGTGGACAGTTCCTATAACTAAGTTCCTATAACAAGCGGCTATAGAGTGAGCCTATTTTAATCATCATTTAAAAATAGGTATATTGCATTTTTTGTTGCACCGCATTGCATCTTACAACCTGAACTAACTTTGTCTTGATTTAAATCACATGTGAAATCATTTCCTATGATTTTTGTTGTTTTTTTAGGATGTTTCTGCTTGTTGGTTGGATCAACACGACTTTTATTTGACAAGACAAAAGTTTTTGAATTAGTAATAAGCAGAAAAGCAGTTTTGTTTTTGTCAATTTTTTCTCCTAAAAAAAATATATAATAGAAGATGCTTGATAAATAGTTTTTTTTCCCTCTCAACAATCAATTATTTTTAATTATGCTTTTGTTCTTATTATGAAATTATAATTATAATTATTGACATTTTTTGATTGCAATTTAAATTAATTTGATTAAATTAATAAATAGGACAAAACAACCAGTTTCATGTCATTAAACAACTAAACACATAGCCAGATCAGTTAAAAAGCAGTTCAATGTTTTTCTTTGTAAGTGGAGATACAAGCCCCTCTTACCTTGAATCATGCATAAAATGATAAGAAGTTTGCAAGTTGCCTCTGTCATCAGAAACTCCATGTCTGAGTCCAACAGTATTAACAAAAAAGAGTCAAACCACTGCAGCAGCAGAAATACAAGATACAGGAAATGATCTACACCACCAGAGAGACAGGAACTGGTTTATTTTCATAGTCTAGCAAAATTTACTTATGAGATCTAGTCTCTTGGTTTGGCTTAAGCTGTGGAGTAAAAGTTGGAGAAAGATACTCTTATGTCTAGAGTAGATAGGATGTAGTGATGGGAGTTTATAGTCCTGATAAGCACAATGTACTGCTACAACAGATAATTAGGACCTTATTTCGATTATGCGTCGACAGTCAGCATGTCTTCCTTGATTTCCCATCAGAATGCAATGTGAGAAGCTATGGTCACATTTACGCACAAATGGAATAGAGATGCAGTAAAGTAGCCTGGCTGCGCCCTCCTACGCACTTCCGCTCAATTTCATTTCCCTTCAGTACTGCGTCTGGGACTCCTGTGTATCCTTAGGTTTCCAGAAATCTATTTTTTGTAGGACCAATCAGCGAATAGAGGGAGTGGCTGATAACGATGACGTTGATGTAAGCGCGTCAGTTTGAGTTCAGTAATGGCAGCGGAGAAAGACGTGAGAAAAGCTATTCGGTCCGTTGTTGGAAAAGAAACTGCCGAATATACAGAATTTAAAGCCGGATTGTTATCGTCTCACCTCTTGTTGCACAACTGAGGACCAAGTGAAGGAGGCAGAAAGTTTGGAAGTTTGTGCTGGGCAGCTCGTGCACGATGACCGTGACATTTTGGACAGATGGTTTAGCCTGGTGTTCGCGGTGTTCGGAAGCCCCGAGTCCTGGCTGCTAAACTATAGTTGAAGATCCGCTCAGGAGTCGTGTCAGTCGCTCATATTCCCAACTGTAAATTTACTGATTCTTGTGATGAATAGAACATTTTGAGCCCCTTTGTGCACTCGTGCAGGAGGTTGGTGTGTCTGTTTTACATGTTGTAAATCATACAAATTGGTTGTGATTTAAAAAAAAATAATTGTCATAAATAAAAATGTGATAACCCATACTTTGAAGATATTTGATTTTCAGATTTAGATGGTAATGGTTAATTTGTTTTAATAAAAAAAAACTAAATGCCACATAAAAATGTACAAACACATACTTTGAAGACTATAACACATACTTTGAAGACTATAATTAAGGTAATTACGAAACAATAAGACATAATATGAAAAATTGTTGTTTATTACACATCTGCAGATAGAGACAGACTGATCATTCACTGTAACTTACAGCATTTGCGGCAGGTCAGAAACGACCACAGCGGCGTATTTGTAATGATTAGACACAGCTTCCACCGTTGAATGAATATATCACTGTCCTTCGTGTCAAATATACATTTTGAATTAATAATTGTTCCTAGATTAACAAAACCTGCAGCTCTCGTTGACTGAAATCCTATTGTAAACATAATCCTCTGATCATTCGGACTTGTTTTTTTCCAGCCATTTCGGCGCGTGACATACGTCACTCACGACCCAGATAGCAAACTGACATTGAATCAACGTGGAAATATGACATCGAAACAACGTTGATCTGACATAGTTTTGCTCATCGAATTAACGTTGAACCAACGTCAGACGCGTCATTCTTTCAAAACTAACGGAAAATCAACTTGAAATCAACGCGTTGTTTCAACGTTATGAAAGCAAACCAATTTTCGATTTTCATTTAGCTTTGAAGAATGCCGCGTCTGACGTTGGTTCAACGTTAATTCGATGAGCAAAATCAACGTTGTTTCAATGTCATGAGAGACGTCGTTTCCACGTTGATTCAATGTCAGTTTGCTGTCTGGACAACCACACGTTAGCGATTGGCTATGGCAGATCGTGAGTGACTTTGGGCAGATCCAATAGATTTGAACTTTAATAGTGAACCCGCCTACAAGGAAGGAAACGTTTCTCAATTGTGTGGTTCCAGACCATAGACTGTAAAAAAGATGGACGACGCACTTCGCTCTTTTCCATCAGAGTGAACTGTAGCCGCCAGTGTCTCGATATGACGCTGACATCTTGGGACTTGAGTCTGCGCTCTTGCGTGTTTCGGGACCAGTCATGCGCAGTCGTGAGCAGGAAGTAAATCCACAAAATCAAGGCCGCGCCCTCATTCTCGCTGAATCAAACGCAAGCACACGCCCCGCACTTTCATTAAGTGTCCTCTGTCTGCTTTGTTCTTCTCCAATGATGTCTGCTGATTGCAGAACCTCGTTAAAATAAGGTAAATCCAACTACTAACCACATAATCAACATTATTAAAAAAGTCCGCTGGTGCTTCAGTGACTACCTCGCACAGAGAACCTGTCAATCACAGCTGTCAATCATGATGTCAGAGCACCGTTATTTTATCATCACATAACTAACTAAAAACAAACTTATTTTAAAAACGAACACTTGAAATTACATCAACGTGATAGAAACTACAGTAAATGACAGAAACTATCTTTGGAAAAAGGATATTTGAAGTGTAATTTAATTGTTTAGTTGGTCTCGCGTCCCATTGAATAACATGGGGAGGCGGGGGTTATGAGCTATACTAGGACCGGTCACAGGGGGGCGATCGAGACGTTTTGGCTTCACTTTTGAGGGCTTGTGCGGCACGCTTGTTCCAGACTCTATGTGCAAATGAAATGTACTAGAGTCTGGTTGAACCAGCTAGCAGTAAAGATCAAATCAAATTTGGCAGCCCCTGCTGAGATTATATGTTATTGTTTGTGGATATTATATCACACAATCAGGCTGGGTGGCAAATGTCCCACTGGCCCCCATGAACTTTTCGCTTATTTCATTTTTATTATTAGAATTTTCTGTTGGTTCACATATTTAAATAAGACGTGACGGGAATCTACAGTGGAGAGAGTACGAATACTTAGTTTAACAAAAGCAAGATATTTCAGCCTACTAAAGGTGTTACATAATCAGGATACATTAGTAGGGACACACCGATATTATAATTCTGGCCAATATTAAAATTCTGTTATTTTGTCTAAAATAAATGAATGAAAAATAAAACTTTTTAACATAAAATTGAATGTTGTAATAAATACCAGTAATGGATATGATGTTATGAAGTTAATGCGCTGTTCTAATAAAGTTCTGGCACAAAAGCCAACATTTACTTTCATGTCATTAATGTCCCATTTAATCCGTAAAATTTTTTTTAATTTCTAAGGCTATAAAAATGTTACTGAATAATCTATCAATGCATTTCCAGCAGATATTGAAATAATAAAGGGTCTCAATGAAATATGTGCAGTGTTGCATGTTTACTGTAAAAAGTCACATGACCAGAGCTGTTGATATTTCTTGTTTGTGACAAGAGGATGCCAGCAAAAAAGCTCCCAAAGAACGCAGGAGAGATGGAGCACACAGGAGAGGCAGAACATGCAGGAGAGGCGGAGCACGCAGGAGAGGAGAGGCGGAGCACGCAGGAGAGGCGGAGCACGCAGGAGAGGCGGAGCACGCAGGAGAGGAGAGGCGGAGCACGCAGGAGAGGCGGAGCACGCAGGAGAGGCGGAGCACGCAGGAGAGGAGAGACGGAGCACGCAGGAGAGGCGGAGCACACAGGAGAGGCGGAGCACGCAGGAGAGGAGAGGCGGAGCACGCAGGAGAGGCGGAGCACGCAGGAGAGGAGAGACGGAGCACGCAGGAGAGGCGGAGCACGCAGGAGAGGAGAGGCGGAGCACGCAGGAGAGGCGGAGCACGCAGGAGAGGCGGAGCACGCAGGAGAGGCGGAGCACGCAGGAAACGCGGAATACGCAGGAGAGGCGGAAGATACAGGAGAGGTGGCTGCACTTAAATGGTAACTAAACGCCTGGTCAGAGCCTCCACCCACTGGCAATATTTGAAAAATGCTAAAAATGGGCAAACCCCAGCGGAGATAGAAGGGACGAACCGAGGGCAGGGCTGAGACCCGCAGTGACAGCTGCTGTCTGACTTTAATGGAGAGTGACACAAGTAGCTTTGCAACAGAGCGGTCATTTGAAGTCGAGGACTGTTCTCCCCCACCTTCACCTGAAGTGGAAGAGGGTGAATTGTCTGTGGATACAGGGCCATTTCAAGGCCCTGTGTCCACAGATGCTGGCTCAAACTGCGAACAGGAAGCATAAAGAGACATGGCAAATGTAATTTAGTTCAAAGTGTATTTGTAGAAACGGTATATTTGTGTATAAAGGCGGGTATCATAGTTTTATAACGGTTCTTGGTCCCGCCCACTCCCACTGACATTTTTTTCTCTCCCGTCCCAATCCCGTGATACATAGTGATTTTGTTTCCCATCCCACAGGATTCTCGCGGGATTCCCATGACCCGCAGGATTCCCGAAAAAATGTCAGCCTCTACTCTTTACTCGCAGTGGTTTTGACTTTTAAACTGCCGAGGGCGTGGTAGCTCGTACCAAGGGCGTGGTGAGCTGGAATCTGCTTACCCGCGTACGTCACGAAGAACCGCAAACATCCAATAGGAAAATTCAACTGCAGTGGCCACCGTTCAAACTGAAGAGGGCAGCACTCAGACGTTTTTACACCATATATTGTAGAATTAAAATACTTTACACCCAAATGTCAAAAAAGTTACTCGAATCAATGATCAGCACAAATAAAGCCCCATTCTTACAGATCATTAACTAAAAAAAGTTGTTTTAGGGTTTAGTTACCCTTTAAAGGTGGAATACCTAAGATTTTTGCATTAAAATATACCAAAATCCCAAGGTCAGTGTTATATATTTAGTTAAGATGATAACTTACAATATTCCAAATGTTTCAAACAATGTTTAAATCGCGATAAAATTGAGATTTTAATCAAGGAAACGGGGCGTATGAGCAGGGGTGAGCTGGGAGTCGCCAGTCAATCGCGTCATATCCGCTTACCTCGGTTTCCGCTCGTACTACGTGTAGTCCTGGACAAATGCGGTAGTTGTAGTTGTGCGTTAGCGTCTGTCAAGCAACAAACGTCAGCTTGTTTCGCGCATTTGTTATGGAATGGAG